GGGTGGGCGACTGAGTTACACTGCGTATGTGAAGGTCAGAGGACAGCTTGCAGGAGTGTTCTGTTTCTGAACAGTAGGTAATGGACTTTTCATTATTCTGTGAATTATGATAACTACATAGCTGAATTCAAGATGTGTGCATGTTTTGTTTATTCTTCCATTTCTGTATCCCCAGTTTGGGATACTATTGAAAACTAGAGCTGAACATTAAAAATGAAAGGCATTTTTAGACTACTGTGATGTGATAGAGACCAGCATAAACAATTCAGCTCTGCTGAAACAGGAGAAAGAGAATGTGTGCACATGTGGAGGACACAGGTTAATTGTTAGGTATCTTCCTCAGCCACTATTTACCTTATTTTTTGAGACAGTTACTGAATCTGGATCTCATTGATTTGTCTAGATTAGCTGGTCAGCAAGCTGTAGGAATCATCCTGTCTGCCTCTCCAGCACTGGGATTACAGGTAGGGCATGCTGTTCTCAGAACTTGGGTCCTCATGCCTACTTGTAGAGCAGGCACTTAACCAAGTGAGCCATCTGCCCAACCCCCTGGGGAGCTTTTAAAACACTGAAGTGCACTAAAAGAAAAGATGTGAAGACCTTAGGTAGGGAGATTTTTTGCAGTATTTAGCCATCTGTGTTTGGTAAGTGGTGTTTATCAGTAGTGTTTATCTTTTTCTTCCACAGAGACTGGGAGACAGGAACTCCATTATAAAGGGACATACTCAAGTCCTTGAAAAAGACTTCTGTGTTGTAGATATCTCAAGGGGCAGAAAAGAACTTCAAAATTTTTTTTTTATTTTATGTGTGTGAGTGTATTGCCTCCATGTATGTGTAAGTGCACCCTTGTGCAATGCCCTAGGAGATCGGAATCCCCTGGTACAGGAGTTATAGACAATTGTTAGCTGCTGTGTGGGTGTTGGGAACTGAACCTGGGTTCTTTGCAAGAGCAGCCAGTGCTCATAACCACTGAGCCATCTCTCCAGTCCCCAGAAAGAACTTATAACTTCAAGTTTTCTGGAGAATAGAAGATGGACATATGGTCACCTTCTAGCTAGGACAAACAGTAAATTGTTTTGTCATAAGATGTGCTTTCTTAAGCAGGCATCTTAAAAGGGTGGGGTCATTCTGGGGATGAAACATTGTGTTGATAGATGAAGTAAAACATGAGGCAAGCCTTGAAAGATGACAGGTAGACTTTTGTAATTTACCATGATATTTCTGTGAACCCGTCAGATTTCCACAGAAACTGTACTTTTATGATTGAATTATTTACCTGAAATATTTTTTAAGCTATTGCCCAAAGTTAGAGCTTCTTTTGCTTTGATATTTGATTTCTTGGATATTTTTTAGTTATATTTCTTTAGAATAACATAAACACCTTCATGTTTTTGCACTATCACTTCCTTTACCTGGAAATCCCTTTGGGTCCCCTGACCTCTCCTCACCTTACATACACCTCTGCCCCCTTCCACATACCTTCTGGAATTGGGAATTGTTTGTCCTTTAAGACCCAGCTGAAGCGAGTCCCCCCTTTTTTTTCTCCTGCTACATTATAGTACTTTGTACTCACTTTTCCCTTTATTCCATTTTTGTTTTAATTTTTGTTGGTTTGTTTTGGTTTTTGAGACTGGGTTTCCCTGTAGCCCCAGCTGACCTGGAACTGGCCTCAACATAGACCAGACTGGCCTCAATCTCACAGAGATCTGCCTACCTCTACCTCCTGAGTGTTGGGATTAAAGGTGTGTGCCACCACACCTGGCTGGTTTGTTTTTTTTTTTTTCTTTAGTTTGTACTTTCAGTTCTCTAGTCTCAGGTGCATATAAAGTATCTCGTGTTTACTTAATACATGTGAATAAATTCAATCGGATCTGAAATATGTTTTCTAGTCTTAAGAACTCAGCTGTCTTATGTGCACAGGTACAATATATATTTTGTTAATTGAATTTTTATTTGTTCTTTGATGTCATTAAGAGGATCTACACTAGTGACAGTTGTACCTCTTCCTGGAGAGCAAGTAGTTCAGGGGGTCATCCAGACAGCTCAGTCTACTGTAATTCACCTACCACAAGTGCAAACGGTACAGAAATTCAAAGACAGTGGTTGAGAGTGGGAAATTTTATACCCAGAATCTTCACACGTACTGATTGCTATAGTTAACAGTATTACAACCACAGAAATTACACTGCAAACCAAATGAGGCAGATAGAAAAAAGTTTTAGAATTTCTATCTTTGTGTATGTGATACCCAGTGAAATTAGGGACAGTTTGTGTGAGGGGACAGCTTATGGTTTAGAATAAAGAAATGAAAAGTTTTGTTTAACATTTTATGTGTTTGAGTGTATTGACTGCATGTCTGTTAAGTGCATGTGTGTCATGCAGTGCCTGCAGAGGTCAGAAGAGGGTGTCAGATCCTCCTGGAAATGGCATTACTGGCGGTTGTTAGCCGTCATGTGGGTACTGGAACCAAACCTGGGTCCTCTGCAAGAGAAAGTGCTCTTAACCACTGAGCTATCTCTCTAGCCTTGACTTCAAGAATCTTAGAAAAAGGTTAAGAGTTGTCTTCGTAAAGTTCAAACTTGTGTCTACCTGCCTTCAGGTTAACACTTGACAGCATTAGAAACAGCCATCCTGGGCTCCTCTTCTTTTTTCTCCTAATTTGATCTTCTGACTTCCACTCATTTTTAGAAGTGGCTACCTGGGAAGAAAAGTAGTAGATCATCTTCCTCCTGAATACATAATGACTGGCAGTGTTGTGAACTCTAGAGTGTTCTGGTTTTGAGCCAGAGTTTTGTTAGGTGGCTGAGGCAACCTCAAACTCTTTGAGTGCTAGGATCCCAGCTATACACAACCTCAAGGGGCTAGAGTGCTTTGTAGTTTGTTACTGACTGGTTGTTTCTGTGTGAAAGATGGCAGCTGTATAGCATTTTGTGGTTTTACTCTTATTTGCTGTCAAAAGTAATGCTTTAATTTTAGAAATTATTTTCTTACTTGAGTTTAGTGAGAGTCTTGAAGTAAATTTAGGGACAAACTGAAAGTAAAGGTTTAGATTAGAAATGGAACATTGCAGTACTCGGGAGGCAGAGGCAGCCAGCCTGATCTGATATAGCAAGTTCCAGGCCAGCTAGGGCTGCAGGGAGACCTGTCTCAAAAAATAAAGATGAAAAGAAACAAAAGAAATAGAACATCTGTGACACCTGAAGGTAGAAGTGACAGATCTTTCTTACTGTTTAGTTATGACTAGTTCTTGTTCCCTATCAAAAGGTACAGGTTTACGATAAAATACAAAGGATAATTGTATACGTACTAGAACTCTTCGGAGTTTTTCTTTTCTGTTTTGAGACAGGGTCTCAATATTTAGCCCAGACTGACATAAAAATCTTATCTTCTGGCTTCCTAAGCTCTGGGATTATAGGAATGAGCCACCATACCTGGCTAGAACTCAGGTTTTAAAGATTAGAATATAAAACAAGCTTCCCTGGAAATGAAATGTCTATGTCTAAATAATTTAAGGGAATGTTTTAAATAGATACTAATATAGAGAGCAGATTTCTTATGTCTTCTCCAAAAACCTGTTTATTTTTAAAATGGAAATGAAGTCAGGTGTCATAATCCAGATTTGGACAAATTTTGGGTAATTTAGTATATTTTAAGAGTTAAAAGTAACTTTTTTCAGTTATAAAACATTGCTAAACTTAAAACTTTGCCTATTGGCTGATAGTTTTAGTGTTGGAGCATAGTTAATATTTACTGTGTATCTACCATGTAGTACTTTACATATATTAGCTCATTTAATTGTGAAATGAAATAATGCTGACCCCCTCGGATCTTAAAATTGTGTGTGTGTGTGTGTGTGTGTGTGTGTGTGTGTGCGTGTGTGCATATATTGCATCACTTGTACCTTGCTAAATCAAATGGTCTCTTCTCGGTCTTTGTACTTTATTGACAAACAGCATTTGACACAGGTGCTCTTTTCTTAATCCACTGAACTGCCTTCACTAGTTTTCCTAGGACAGTTCAGGCACTTGGTTCCCATAGCTACTCTTCAGTTGAATTTTCTAGCCACTTCTTTCTTTCTCTCTCTCTCTCTCTCTCTCTCTCTCTCTCTCTCTCTCTCTCTCTCTCGCATGCATTGCTTCTCTTGGCATTTGGGGTCAGCAGACTTAAAGCTTTCCTCTCAACTGTGTGATGATGGCCACTCAGTTAAACACTCTCTCTCTCTCTCTCTTTTTTTCCTGACAGTGTCTCCCTGTAGCCCCAGCTGACCTGAAACTCACTATGTAGACCAGGCTGACCTCGAACTCAGAAAGATCTGCCTGCCTCTGCCTCCTGAGTGCTGGGATTAAAGGCATGTACCACCATGCACAGCTTCCACTCTCTCTCTCTCTCTCTTTTTTTTTTTTTAATTAAGTTAGAATCCCCTCTCTCTCTTAATGTTAGAGTATTCCTGGGTTGAGTCTCTGATTCTTTTTATCTATCCCATTGGTGAGCATGTCCAATCTCTTGGCTTTAAGCACTCCAAAGAGCTTTGCTTTCCAAATTTTGACCTGGAGGCTTGTATATTAAGCAGTTTCCTTGGTGTGGGCAATTGTATATCTAATAGGCTTTTCGAACTCAGCATTGTCAAAAACTCATTAGATAGCATTAGTAATTTTTGAAGCATAACACAAACAAAAAAATTTTAAGTCATGTACACCAGTGTAGAAATGCTTTGGTGGAGATTGAAATCAGAGTTTGTGGTTTTTTTGTTTTTTGTTTTTTTTAATAAGCTAATAGAATTGGATTTAGACTAGAAATTCTAGCTCTGGGTCACTGTATTTCTTTAATTAGTTTGTACTCCTGGAATAACTTTTATCTTTTCCTCCTTCACTTTTAGACCTTAGAATTAATGTTCAAGTGAATTTGGGTAACAGAAGACAGATAATTTCTTTGAAAGTGAACACTTGATTCTTTTCCCACCTGCATTCTTCAGGATATTAAAAATCAGTTCTGATTTTTAGGTATCATCTTTATCAGAAAGTGAGGAGTCCCAGGACTCATCTGACAGCATAGGCTCCTCCCAGAAAGCTCACGGCATCCTAGCACGACGCCCATCTTACAGGTTAGTACTCACTTGTATCAACTTGGATATTTATTTATTTATTATTTTATTTCTTTTTTTTTTTTTTTTTTTGAGACATGGTCTCCCTGTAGCCCCAGCTGACCTGAAACTCACTATGTAGACCAGGCTGCCTCTGCCTCCCGGGTGCTGGGACTAAAGGTGTGCACCACCACGCCTGGGAGAAGTATGAGTTCAAATAGTTCTGTGAAAAATCAAACATGTGGTTAGGTAAGGAGGCAGGTGTCAGGGAAAGTAACAGGTTTCTGTCTTTACTTTTGGATCGTTAACTTTTTAAATTTTTTGTTGTTTTGAGACAAGGTCTCACTGTGTATCTCTAACTTGGCTGGAACTCATTATGTAGACTAGGCTGCCCTGAAATTCACAGAGATCCACCTGCTTCCACACCTAGCCTAGATAGTTAACTTTTTTATTTGTGTATGAGTGTTTTGCCTACATGTATGTAAGTGCGCCTATGCGTTCAATGCCCACAGAGGCCAGAAAAGGGCATTAGATTCTCTAATGAACTAGAACTGGAGTTACTGATGTTTGTTAGCTGCCCTGTAGGTGCTAGGAACTGAGCCCATGTCCTCTGCAAGAGCAGCCAGTGCTCTTAACTGCTGAGCCATCTCTCCAGCAATGTGAAAGCAGGACTGCACACTGTAGCAGGTAGACTACTTTGTGTGCCCTTAACTTTCTAGGTCTGGGCCTTGTGTGTTCTGAAATACTTTACATTCAGCATAACTCCTCCATGTACTTACCAGAAGATTCTCTAATTACCTTTTTTGGATTGGCCCAAGACCAGATAAGATTTTTCTTCTCTGGTAGCCTGTACTAAAGTACTTGACTCATCTTGCTAGAATTTCACTTTATTTATTTATTTATTTTCTTTTGGTCTTTTTTTTTTTTTTTTTTTTTTTTTTTTTTTTTTTTTTTTTTTTTTTTTTTACCCCCCCCGGGCCCGAAACACCCCCTTTAAACCTGGCCTTGAACTCACAGAGATCCGCCTGCCTCTGCCTTCCAAGTGCTAGGATTAAAGGCGTGTGCCACCACACCCGGCTACAAATGACTTTTTAAAAAAAGCCAACTGGAGCTGGAGAGATGGCTTAACAGTTAAGAGCACTGGCTGCTCTTGCAGAGGACCCAGGTTCGATTCCCAGCACCCACAGGGTGGCTACAAACCGTCCTTAACTCCAGTTCCAAGGGAATCCAAAGCCCTCTTTTTACCTCCACGGCGTTGCACAACATGGGTGCACTCACATACATGCAGAAAATACACATAAAATTAAAAAAATAAGAAATAAAACAGTAAGAAAAAAAAAACTAAATGGGGCTGAAGATATGGCTCAGCGGTTAAGAACACTGTTCTTGTAGAAGACCCAGGTTCGAATCCTAGTACCCACATGGCAGCTAAGAACTGTCCGTAAGTCCAGTCCCAGGGGATCCAACAGCCTCTTCTGACCTCCGAGGGCACAGGTGCACTTACCTACACCAGCAATACATGCATACACATAAAATAAAAATAATAAGTAAAACTAAAAAAATGAAAAACCAACTAAACATAAAATTTCAAAGTGAAAGAAAAGGAAATGCCTAGAAGCATCCATACATCCAAATCCAGGCCTGGTGGCGCATGTCTATAATCGCAGTACTGGAGAAGCTGAGACAGGGTTGTTGGAAGTTCAGTGGTGATTTGGGCCTAACCTTGCTCTTTTGGAATTGTGTGGGTTCACATAAGAAACACCTCACTCTTCAGGCCTAGCCAAACTTCTTTCTGGTTGACTAGGGAAGGTGATTGATTTCCTGACTGGTAATGCTTTTACTTGAGTAGTTTTCCAGGAATCGTTGCAGCCATTGTCCTTGTCTTGGATCTCTTCTTTCTAAGGGAGTATCTTGGAGAGTTCAGGGAGGGTTTCCTTATATTCTTTCCTGTTGGGGTTTCTGCTGACAGCTGTGTTTTTGAGATACTCAATGACTTCTCTTAAGGACTTACACTCAGAAAACAGGGCTTTCTGTCCTTGACTATAGGCCTGAACCAAGAAAAGCTTAATGCATCTGTCAGTCCAACCTTCTGTTGGTTTCCCCAGCTTCCTACTCTTGATTTTCCTCACTTTTCTCAGTGTGGATGTGTTCCTGCAGTGTCCTCTAATAGCAAACTGCTTCAGGGCATTTGAGAAATCATTTCACTGTGTTATATTTGGTTTTCTGACTGTAACTACGAGTTTAAAAATCTTTGCTGAAGTTCCTGCTTTGCACATGGGTTTCTGCCGTGTTGAACTAAGTTGAGATGGGTGCTTGAGAACTCAGAGGTCTCCTTTCCCACTCAGACAGCAGAACCTTGGGTTAGTTTAAACTCTAGAATTTCTGAGTCAAGCTCATTTGAGGGATTCACAGACAGGAGTTTCTGAGATTAGAGGCACTCTTAGCAACAGCTCTCAGATGGAGTTGTGCTGATCGTTCTGTGTTGCCCTGTGTTTCCTGGGATCTTTTCCAACAGCTGCTTGAGCTGAAAGATAAAGCTCCTTCTCTGAGAATCTGAAATGGGGTAATTCTGTGAAGCACACTGAGCTGGTGTGGGGCTGGCTTTCTGCACTGGGTTAATCTCACTTTTTCTTTTGAGTCAGTGTCTTGATGTGTTGCCCAGGCTCATTTCAAACTCCTGGGCTCAAGCAATCCTGCCTCAACCTCCCAAGCAGCTGATACTAAAGGGATGTACCACCATCCCCCAACATGATGATTATGCTTTTAACCTGAGATTGGAAAATGGGTCAGGTATGGTACCTACTTTTGTAATGCCAGGACCTGGGAGGCTGAGGCAAGAAAATCACAAGTTTGAGGCGACATAGAAAGGAGGAGGGAAGAGGGAAAAGTGTGTGTTTAGTATTCTTTTTGTAAAGGTATTCTCATTAGCCACATTAACAGAGTTCTATTTTTCACAGAAAAATTTTGAAAGACCTCTCTTCTGAAGATACACGGGGCAGAAAAGGAGACGGAGAAAATCCTGGCATTTCTGCCGTCACGTCTATGTCTATTCCAACTCCCATTTATCAGACTAGCAGCGGACAGTACAGTATGTATAAGGAATTGCTCCTGTATGATAGACACACCCACTTTTCTGTGGAAAGAACTGTGTATAGAAAGACCATCTGCTTTAAGAATAGTGATTGTTAAGGGCTAACATTTGAGTAGTATAAAGGATTTTTTCCCTGCATTATCTCATTTTTTCCTTATGTTAACTTTGTGAGGTAGGAATTGACAGTGTATCAGGGAAGAGAGGCTCGGAAAGTTGGATAATATTTCATCTTGGTGTGATGGTACCTGTAATCCTAACACCTGGTATATGGAAGCAGAATACCTTGGGCTATATAGTGAATTCCAAGCCAGCCAGTACATAATGAGACCCCGTCTCTTAAGAACAGTCCTTCTCTCCCCCTTCCAAAAAGAAAATTAGATACTATTTCGAAAGTCACATAGCTTATAAATAATGGAGCCAAGATTCAGTGGTGTTTGGGTGTAGATAGACTTCTTACCCCCCACAACATACCTTTAAAAGTGTTCTTTTGGACACTAGCCACTTAGGGCCATGACCTTAGTTTTGGTGAAAATTAAATATTTGGATTAGTTATATAATAAAAAATTGAACATCTGAGGTTAAGGAAGTTTGAATCAGAGAATTGAGACTTTGCAGTGTGACTTGCAGCATGCCCACCATGAATACTACTGAGCTACTCAAGTCTGATCACTAAACCTCCATATCTGAAATTGTAGATGTAGTCAATCTAAGAACAAAGTGTCTGCTGATCTGAATCTCCCATCTGGGGGACTAGTGAAAATGATCTGGTTCCCAGCACCCACATGGCAGCTAACAACTGTCAATAACTCCAGCTCCAGGGGATCCAGTGCCCTCTTCTGACCTCTGGGCATTCACATGGGTGCACTTAAATAGATGCAGGCGATACACTCATAAAATAAAAATAATAAATTTATTTTTTATTTTATTTTATATGTATGAGTGTATTGCCTGCATGTGAGTGCACCCGTGTCGTGCAGTGCTGTGGAGGTCAGAAGAGGGCTTTGGATTCCCCTGGAACTGGAGTTAAGGACAGTTTGTTGCCACCATGTGGGTGCTGGGAATTGAACCCTGATCTCTGCAAGAGCAGTAAGTGCTCTTAACTGCTGAGCCATCTCTCCAGCCCCATAAATTTTTTTTTTAATGAAAAATTGAAATGTTGCTGGGCATGGTGGTGCACACCTTTAATCCCAGCACTTGGGATGCCGAGGCAGGCGGATCTTTGTGAGTTCAAGGCCAGCCTGGTCTACATAGTGAATTCCAGGTGAGCTGGGGCTACACAGGGACCCTGTCTCAGAAAAAAAAAAAAAATTGAAATGTTTGTTTCTTTGTCCCCTCTCCCCCTCTTTTAGAATTAGTCATTAGGGTTGGAGACATGGCTCTTGCAGAGGACCCATGTTCGATTACTAGCACCCACATGATGGCTAACAACTGTCTGTATCTCCTGTTTCAGGGGAATCTGACACCACCTTCTGGCCTCTCTGGGCATAGCACAACATGGTACAGTTACATACAAACAGGCAAAACACTAATGCACATAAAATAAAAATAAATAAATCAAAAAATTAAATATCTTATTTGTTATTTTTATTTTATGTGTATGAATGTATTGCCTGCATGTATGTAAGTGCATCTATGTCATGCAATACCCGAAGAGATCAGAAGAGGGTATTGGATCCCCTGGAATTGGAGTTACTGATGGTTGTTAGCTACCATGTGGATTCTAAGAATCAAATCTGGTGCTCTGTAAGAACAGTCAGTGCTCTTAACCACTGAGCCATCTTTCCAGCCCCTAAAAACTTTTTTTTTAAATTATTAGGAGCCAGGCACGGTGTCTTCACACCTTTAATTCCAGAACTTGTGAGGCAGAGGTAGGCAGATCTCTGTGAGATAAAGGCCAGCCTGGTCTACATAATGAGTTTCCCAAAAAAAGTCATTAGCTTTAGGCCATGCATGGTTTAGGACAGCCACAATTGCCTAAGACCCTGTGTGTCAACAAAGCACCTTAGCCATTGGATCCCCTTTAATGTCTCAAAATTTCTTTGTCAACATTAACAGCATGAAATGCCTAAATATTTCCAAATGTGTTACTTTTACAACCAGTTACGTGTTATTCAGCCTGAGACTAAGTTTCATGTCGTACATCTAAACCATAAAATTTTACAAAGACATACCATTTTATTTCTTTCAGTTCGTACATTTGTTTTTTTCTAGTTCGCCCGTAGTGGTCAGTGATTTAACTAAGTAGACCTGCATTCAAACCTGTTAAAAATGTTTATGTCATTCTTTTGAGTTAGTGTATTGTGTAGCCTTATAATAACTATTTCTCTCTTTGGTTAAAGTTGCCATTGCACCCAATGGAGCCTTACAGTTGGCCAGTCCAGGCACAGATGGAGTACAGGGACTGCAGACATTAACCATGACAAATTCAGGCAACACTCAGCAAGGTACAATTCTCCAGTATGCACAGACCTCTGATGGACAGCAAATACTTGTGCCCAGCAACCAGGTGGTTGTACAAAGTACGTATCCTTAATATTCTACAGAACTGTCCCAAATCCTTTCCAAGACTCACACTGAGTGACTCATTTTTTTTGGTCCTCCAGCTGCATCAGGAGATATGCAGACATACCAGATCCGTAGCACACCATCTGCCAGTTCACTGCCACAAACTGTGGTGATGACTTCTCCTGTGACTCTTACATCTCAGACAACGAAAACCGATGATCCCCAACTGAAAAGAGAAATAAGGCTGATGAAAAACAGGTAGGCAGTAAAATCTTACTACCAGCCTTGGTGAGGTTTCTACAAACCTTAGAATGTAATCACATATTACTTAACTACTCAATTAGAAATGAGGTTTAGATAAGCTTTACTGAGTCTTAGTCTTAGGTTTTATCTAGTTCATTCCCAATGGATCATCAGTGAGTCCAGTGGTCAGTCATTGGATTAAAATGGCATATGACCTAGAATTTTTCAGTTTTACTGCATCCTTGAAATAACATTGCTAAGCAAAGAGCTTCAAACATTTTATTCTTGTTGGCTTCACAGTTAAATGGCATACCCTGGAGGTCTTGTGGGTTTGCTTCCAGATCACCACAGCATAGAGCAAATGTCACAATAAAGTGAGTCATGCAATTTTTTTTTGTCCCAGTGTGCACAATAGTGATGTATATACTGTACTTCTTGTCAAGTGACCTGAAAAAAACAAAATGCATACTGTCAAGCAAATTGATTGCTGAATAATACCAACAGATCACCTGAGATTTTAGCAAGTTGTAGTCTTTTTTTGGATAGAAGCTCCCACCTGTATATTATTGCTGTGAGTTGATCAGATTGATGTCTGCCGAAAGATTGGGTGGCTGCTACAATTTCTTTAAAAAAAAAATAAGGCAACAGAGCATTTGCTACATTGAGTGATGCTCCCTTTCACTAAAGATGTTTCTGTAGCATGCAGTGCTGTCTGATAGCATGTGGCCCACTATAGACCTTCTTCCCAAACTGGAACCATCCATCTCAAGCCTTACCCACTTAATCCATGTAGTATTCTAAATCTCATACCATCTTCACCAATAGCTGGCCTCAAAAGAAACCACTTTCTTTGTCATGCATATGAAACAATTCCTTGTCTCCTGAGGGAAAAAAAAATTTTTTTTTGGTCTTTCTGAGACAGGGTCTCCATCTAGCTCCAGCTGGCTTGGAACTTGCTATGTAGATCAGGTTGATCTCATCTGCTTCTGCCTCCCAAATGCTGGGATTTAAAGGCGTGCTCCCTGACAAATTTTTTTTTAACCAAAAGATTGCAGCAGGGGCTAGAGAGATGGCTCAGAGGATAAGAGTGAGTACCAGCAGATGAACACAGTTCAGTGTGTCTACACACAGAAAACGAATTAAGGAAAAATATTTAATCATAGATCACCATAACATATAGAAATAAGTTTGGAATATTGTAAAAATTACCAAAATGTTACACAAAATCACAAAGTCAGCACAGTGCATTACCTGTTAAATGCAATAAACAAAGTATGCCTGTAATTTGCTACTTCTTGCTTTTTTTTTTTCCCCTCGGTCTTTTTGAGAAAGAGCCTCCCTGTAGCCCCAGCTGGCCTGAACTCACTGTGTAGACCAGGCTGGCCTTGAACTCCCAGAGATCTGCCTGCCTCTGCTTCCTGAGTGCTCCCTCCCTTTCTCTTAAAATTTTTTTTTTGGTCTTTTTGAGACAGGGTTTCCCTGTAGCCCCAGCTGGCCTGAACTCACTGTGTAGACCAGGCTGGCCTTGAACTCCCAGAGATCTGCCTGCCTCTGCTTCCTGAGTGCTGGGATTAATGCTGTCATGCCCAGCTGCTACTTGCTTTTTAAAAGAAAACAATTTTTTAACTTCTAAAAAAGATCTTATTCATTCATTCTTTTTTTTTATTAGTGTAAAGTTAGGAGTTCGGTTTTTTTGTTGTTGTTGTTGTTTTTCGGTCTTTTTGAGACAGGGTCTCCCTGTAGCCCCAGCTGACCTGGAACTCACTATCCAGACCAGGCTGGTTTTGAACTCACAGAGATCCTCCTGCCTCTGCCTCCTGAGTGTTAGGATTAAAGGTGTGTGCCACCACACCCGGCCATGGAGTATTTATTAAAATTCGTAATGCACATAATTTTGATGCATTAAGAATATATCCTAACATGATAAGATACTTTGGTGCAAAATAAAGAATATTATCTAGTTATATAAAACAGAAAAATATATCTAGCTTGAGAATATTCATTTTGTTATGTTAATAA